TTGATCAGGCTGATTTTAAATTCCGATGATATATAAGTGAATTATGATTCTTCTATTAATACCAGAGCCTCTGTGATGTGAACTATGTGGTGTTCTTTTAGAAATTATTCCCTTCAAGCTGCATACTGAGATGCTCTCTTTGCTGAGAGTTAATTCTGGTAAGTTCTGATGTAAAAAATATTTTTTTAATGAATTGAATGGGAATACTTTTTTATTATTGGGAACTAAGAACAGTAATTTGTATAAAAATAGCTTTTCTACTGAGACAATTTTTCTGACAACACTTTTTTAAAAATTTTTGAGATTGGCTGATATCACAAACCAGTGGTTTGTGATCTAGGGGAAATTTGCATATGATCAGCAAGTTTTACTCCCAGAGCTTACAGTTTTAGATTTTTTTCATCTTTTGTGGGCTTCATTTTCTATCATCTGTGGCATTGAGTGAATGTGATTCAGTCAAGATTAGGGTAACATTTTCTACTTTTCTAGCTTGTGTATATGTGTGTCTTCTAAGGTTAGCATCAAAAGCTTTGTACTTTGTACTTTATCAAGAAAAGGGTGATTAAATTTTCCTGGGTCTTTGGCAGTCTTAATTTTGTTTTTTTCTCTTTATACTTACCATGTGGTAAAATTGTGTTTTAAGAGGATATTTTCAAAGTAATCATAAATACAAATATGAGGAATTTGTAAAAATAAAGGAAAAACAGTGAGAGCCAACAAAGTGATTGGGACATTTATTTATTTATTTGTTTGTTTGGTTGTTTGTTTATAGTGCAAGGGCCTGGTCCATGCTAGGCAACCAATGTACCACTGAGCTGCACATCCAGCTTCTGGTTGGACATTTCCTAAGAGACTACATTGTATTTTTTTAATGCTCAATTAAATCTTTGGAGGGTGACTCTTTTATTACTTATGTAAGAGTTGATCATCTGCTATGTGGTTTGAAAACAAAAATTGTGACTGAAAACTTGAGTGTCATCACTTATATTGGTATAAATTTTGTTACTGGCTGGAATGCCGGACATTCTGTCCTATCTATTCATGGTGTCTCCAGTAATGGACAGAAGCCTATGTGGACAGGTTTGTGCTGTCAGGCTGGCATCTTCCCAGATTGTGTTATGATGATTGGCATGATCATCAGGGGGGAATCCCAAATCCATGAGTGATTTTTCGCATAAAAGTAGTGCTGGTATATAGAAGACCAAATTGAATTTTCCTCTGAGCTTTCTAGATGCTTGAGAAGCAGGACCTCAAATTCAGAATTCTGTACTCTGTTTTAAATTTTTT